ACGAGCCGCCACTGTAACTTCTCCAACGCTTTTTCATCTTGTAATTGTATAGCATGAATGAATTTTAGGCCCGATACCCAGCCTGGATGCAGTCACAAGTTTGTCTTTATATACCTTCTCCTTCGTCACAAAACAGACACACGTTTTTCACATCTAAACAAATAATGATAATTTTGTAAATTTTGATATAGAACCGGTTCTGCTACGAGGCAGCAAACTTCAGATTCGTATTCAGCACCCCAAAAAACATATAATTCCGTTGAAAAACCTTCTACCGCATTCACGTTACCAAAAAATTACCATTTGACTGGACTATAATAACGATAATAGGCGATGATAAAAGAATCCAAAGCTTAGTGCCACAAGAATACACAAGTAACTAAAACACAAAATATTCTATTCAAATGCCGCATTTTTTTGAATTCCTATTCATTACAATAAACACAAAGTAATTTAGGAAATTGTGCAATCATCATCAGTAGGAATTACTTCAGAAAGCAGATCAACAAAATCGTCAAATGGACAAAAAGCGTCATAGCCAGGAATGGTTAAAAGTATAGGTTCTTTGGTGGTCCAATTTTGATAAAATACCTGTAAAAAGCTACTATAGTTATGTTAACAATAATGATTCATTGTAATTACCTTAAATCCAACAATACCATCGATTCTGTGCAATTCGATCGAAACGTAACTCCCATAAGTAGGAATTGAGTCGTCATATACACCAAGCGTTATCAGTAAATAAGCTATATTCACTTCGTGACCCGAATAAATGAACATTTTTCTATGTTGAGGAATAAGGGTTTGCTCAATTTTTGCCTTAGAATCGTTGATGATTTTTCTCAGCAGGAACCCACCTGCGATTTTTTTCAAGGTCGTCGTATTGGTTGCAATATAGTACGTGTCTTTGGTGATTTTTTCCAAATCGGGCCATACTGATTCCAGCCAGCTTTCCAAAGCGTAACCAAAGTCTCGCTAAATAATAATATATTTATGGTAATTTAAATATTGTTGGTGATTTTTAAAAAAAATTACCTGTGCATCCCCAAAAAAATACAAACCAAAAACGCTGTTAGGAGTGCTGACATTTGTTCCAGCATGCTCAGAAACATACTCATACACATCCTTATATTTGGACAGTAATTTTTGGATTTCATCTGAATTCTCTAACTCATTAACCAACTCAATGTAGTTCTCGCAGATACCGGTACTTCTAAGTTCTTTGTCATTTAATAAATGATTGTAAGGTATCGGTTGCCAATTGAGCCAAGGTTTCCAAATTTGATCGCCTTTCGGCGGCCATAAACCTGCCAGCATCGATTGCAAAGACATTTTGGTTCTGTTGAAGTTTGTGGTTCTAGCGTCCAAAAGGTCAATGTTGTAGGTGTCCCCTAAGAAATTGTCGTATCTTTTTCGTAGAGAGGTTCCCATGCGGTATGCAGTTCTTTTACCTTTCTATAGAAATAATTTATTGTTTTTTTTTTTGTAGGTATAGGTATAGCTACCTACTTACATTAGTTATCTGTCCCATTCCATAGGGCATATAATAGCTTTCATTTGAAATAGGGTCGTTCTTGTAAGGAATTAAATCTGGTGTACGGTTGCCATGCCTAAATAACTATTTGAAAAATAATAATGCAAAGTAATTTATATTAAAAGCTACTTACGATATGGACTAATACCAAAGTGTCTTCATCTGTAGTTTTTGGTGCCCCACTAACTGCGCTTAAGCAGTAAAAGACCAAGATGAGTAATAGAGTATCTGTGAGGCAGTTCATTGTCAGATAAATGCTTTATTTTCAATCGATTCTTTTTATATTGAAATTTTTTTGGATTCCGATGGATAATAAACAAATAAAGTAATAAAAGGATTAGTGTAAGTTACGATTTAATACAATCAATGCCAAAATTATAAAAGATGGATTATGTATTAGTAAACGTTTTATTAGCTTCACATATTCGTCATGAAATGAAATTATGTTATGGAGATTCTCTTATCTTATATTATAAGGACCAACCTGAAGACTCTGACCTCAATAAAAAATCTACCATCAAAAAATTGTGATGCATTTAGATACCAATGAGGTAGTTAATTCGCAAAATAACCCTATTAGACTAAAATGTCAGGACCCGGATTTATCCAATATCCTCAACATCTTGCATTTACAGAGAATGTCTAAAACTACAAACTACCCAACAACCCCTTACGCGATTTTACGTTTCCGTGTTCAATTCAGACAGACGCGGTCTTGAAATAAACACGGGAAAGTATTGCAATATTCATTGACAAACCCGGGTTGATTTCGAGGCGCCAGACAATGAACCACGCACGGATTTGTTTGAAAATGACTGGCGGTACATGTTCACGTTTCCGTTTTCATTTCAATGAGCATCTTGTTACTGAACATGGAGACGTTACACAAAAAGGACAACACAGTCGTAAATGGCATAATTTTTTTTAGGAAAGTACTCATCACAAAAAGGATCACATAACTTACCTTTAGAGCAATAGGACAAAATTGTTTTAAATGTTCTAACAATATAAAAGTGATTTAACTTAACTAATTTTTATATTTACACAAATACATGGTGTTCTTAAATATCATGTACAAATGAAAGGGGTTGATAATGTTGATATATGAGGGCTCCTTCATAGTCGAAGAAAAACTTGAATCAGTTAGTTAATAATTAAATTACAGATTTTTTTCATTACTAGAAAATTGTTGGCTTCACGTTTACTTGATGCTGTGTCAGAATGGAAAAAAAAACTCCGGGGTATTTATAATAACTAGGTGCATGCTTTTTAGGTGGTAATTAGGCCCACTAATTAAAAATTGTCTGGTTTTCCGATTTGTTTCTTTTTGCAAGTTGACAAACGTATACCTACTTTTCGGAACTTGTAATGTACATGTTTAGGGAATCGACGCTTTATTATACAATTTGTCTTTGTTTCTAAAGAAAATGCACTAACTAAACAACTACATTGTTCATCGTAAGTTCCGGTGTAAAATAACGCACATTGCACCATGCAAGCATATAGTTCACCGAAGAGTGTTCTTCAAACTTTAAAATTTCAAAGTCTTTAGTGTGTTTAAGAAGGAAACTTTTAAAATGTTCCATGACTCAGCCGGCAAATTAAAAACTGTGATAACCTTAAACAAAACGTAAATAAAACAATTTCAATCATAGCTGTTGTTACAGTCTACCAATTGCTACAATTGATCAATTTAGTAAGCAACAATTAAGAGACAGTATGCTACCATTTCGCCCGTGAAATCAACACGGATTTGGACGTGAACAAATACGGCTTTTTTCCAAACAAATCCGTGCGTGGTTCATTGTCTGGCGCCTCGAAATCAACACGGGTTTGCCAATGAATATTGCAATACTTCCAAGTGTTTATTTCAAGACCGCGTCGGTCTGAATTGAACACGGAAACGTAAAATCGCACCCCTGACATCAATCTACTTTGTACCTCCTTCTTAAATAAAATTATTTTACTTTGAAAAATATCACAATTTGTTTCATTGATTATATCACACATTCTTACTATAGGTGAGGTAAACTCCCTATTTGTTCTTGGTGTATCATAAGTCAATATCTGTGACTGTCTAGTTCTCAATCGGGTACTCTTATATTTATCAGGCTCAACAGATATTCATCTTTCACATGATAATGAAGAAGTTTATACAAAAACATTACGTTAAAATATTTTCTTCTTACATCTAACCTACTGTAACCATGTTGGATACACAACACATCATATGGTACATCAACTGGGTAAACCCCGAATCTCTTTAAAATGTAATCTTTTCAAAAAATTTTTTTGACATATTTCTATTGCATGGATTGACCTCTGATAACATGGGTCCCATACAACTGATGCATATTTTAGCTTTGTCCTAGCCAGTGAATCATACAAAAGTTTGACTATGCCCCATTTCGTTTGTGTTACGATAGATAAACCCTTAGATTATGATAAACCCTATAATCTTAAGTGACTCACCTACTCTTTTGTGTACATGATCATTGAAGCTAATAAAACACATACCTATAAAACACCAACACCAAGGTCTCTAATTGAGTTTTCCTCTTTCAATTTAATATTGTTTAAAAAGTAATCATATTCTACTTGATTTTGTCTATTTTTTGCTGTAAATTTCATTGTAATACACTTTGATACATTAACTCTGCTAACTTGTTATCCACAGACCATTTATAAAATTCGCACATATATCACTTTGTAGATTTTGACAATCATTGATATTTCTTATGCTTCTATATATTTTAATATCATCTGCATAAATTAAAATTTCTGAATACTCAAACATTTGCATTACGTTGTTTATAAATATAATTAATAACAGTATTTGACCCTTGAGGTATTCCTGATGTTGACTTGTAGGTCTTTGAGTTATAATTGTTATGAACAACAATTTGTTGACGTTTATGCAGAAAAGACCTAATCAGTCTAATTAAAACATATGGCAAATTCGCCTGTATTAATTTATCAATTAGTATTTTTCTATTGACTCTATCAAATGCCTTTTTAAAATCCAGGTAAGCCACATGGACATCTTTGAACACCTCAAGGGAATCTGACATATATTGGGTAAAGGTATCAGGTTTGTGGATGTTGATTTGCCTTGCATAAATGCATGTTGCTCTGATGCGAGTATTCTGAAAGAATACGAGTGTACAACACTGATTCAAACACTTTTGAACAGTTGAGCAATATACTTATTGCTCTATAATTCTCTATATCACACTTATTGCCCTTTTTAAAGATTGGACAGACCTTGCTTAACTTCCAAATTTCAGGATATTTTCCTTCTTTCGTGCATGAGTTAAATATTGTAGTGAGTATTGACGCGAAAATGAACTTGCAGTCTTTTACTACAAAAGCTGGAACGTTATCTAGTCCCATAGTTTGCTTTGGTTTTAAATTATTTAAAGCAGTCATGACTTCTTAGTTCTTAGTGAGATTAGATTAAGCAAAATTGTTGTCATCGTTTTATTAAATTTTTACATTTATATAATCTTCGTATAACTTAATTAAGCTTTCAGGAGTTCTTGGAGTTACCATCTTCAATGCTTTATCAAAGTGACGGGCTTCTATAAAAGTGCTTTGGAGGTCTTCTTCCAAGGCCATCATCGCTGCTTCGTGGCAAACCGCATTGACTTCTGCCCCTGAGTAACCAGTTGTTTTCAATACCAAATCATCAATACTAACGTTTTGAGTCTGAAAAATTATTCTACAATTTACTTCTCAAATTACTATAAACAAAAAAAAATTCTTACAGGCATTTTTGTTAACTTTATTCTAAATATATCCCGCCTGGTACTGTCATCTGGTAAAGGTACATAAACGATTCTGTCCAATCTTCCTGGTCTGAGTAAGGCCTTATCAATTTTATCCGGTCTATTAGTGGCTGCCAGAATCGTTACATCGCCCAGTGGGGTAACGCCGTCCAATTCTGTTAGTAGTTGAGCTAGAACTCTTTCTTGGACACTTGTAGATGAGCCTGAAAAAGAGAGAGAATTTATTTTCGTGAGAAGCCAGAAATTTGAAATCATAAATCAAGTTTGACTTCATCAAAAAATATACGGGTGAGTGGTAAAAACAACTTTTAAAATGCCTGTAATTTCCAACCTCAGAGGCTCCAAACCGATCTTTTACACTTTTTAACATAGACCACGTCGGACATACAGGGTGGCAATTTGAAAAGTAGCAATCAGGAATATGTCTTAGTGCGCGTTCACATTGACACCGCTCGAGCGGTGAGCGTTGCGCGATGCCGCTGTAGTGATGCCCAAAAATAATTTTAACATTATATTTCAAATGAACATGTTCACACTGGAGAGCCGCGTTCCGCGGTGTTAACATGTTCATTTGAAATATAATGTTAAAATTATTTTTGAGCATCGATACACGGCATCGCGCAACGCTCACCGCTCGAGCGGTATCAATGTGAACGCGCACTTAGACAAAAAATACTATCAGGAAGATCTCAAATACGGATCGGGGGATTGGAGAGGGAAGCAGAATGAAGCACTTTCTGAGTCCCTCCTTAAGGGATAGCTACCCTAACATATGTTTTTCAAAGAGGCACCTACCTTGTGTTGCACATCGTTGGATAGCTCGTTGCTTTCCCTTTACAGTCTTATAGCAAAATCTTAAATTGTACGATTAATGACTATCTTTGAGTAGTAGTACAGGTTGCAAAATATTACTTGTTTGGGACGTCACGCAGTGGGTGTTTATTTAACCATTACATGAACCAACAGGTTCGAAAGTTACCATGTAAAACCCAATACGACCCATTCAGAAAAAATACCCTGTATTAAGACATCTACATATAATAGATTTAATACCAGTACATATTATTATCTGATGCATAATAAGTATAAAGTGGGCACCTACATAAAAAAATTATAATTATTTTACACTAAGTAGTTTTGGCAATGTTTGCCACTGGAATAATGATCATTCTCAAAAGGTTTTTCACAATTTTGAAACAATCTGAAATTGGTGTTTTGTGCATTTCAGCAAGTAAAGATGGAAGGATTTGTTTATCTCAATAATATAATACCTAATTGATGAATCAACACTGATATAAGAAAAAAAGGGACCAGGGTAATGTAAACAAGCTATTGTAGCTTTCTTTTCTTCTATTTTTATATTCGTCATTCGGCAGTAGACTACAAATCAGAATTTTGGTAAGCTACTTCTAGTTGAGCATGTTTGGTATTAGACTTTAAGCATTTGGCTGTAGATGTTTTCAATAACTTCCTCTTAGCAGTGGAAGTTGCATTTCACTGATATCCAGGGCAACAAATTATAGTTTGATTACGTTTTTTTGGTAATTAGTGTCCCCTGGGGAACCCGTCCACCATAATAGGTTAGGATCCCATTTGTGGCACGATTATACTATTTAAGGTAATTGTAGCAGTGGGGCACTACCGAATACCGGTGAGAAATGGTTGAATTATGATTTGCTGTTGGGGGTCAGCTGCACAACGTGGTTTCAAGTGAATTCAGTTTACTTAATGGGGCTTTAATAGAATAGCTGAATGCTCTGCAAAAAGAGGTATCACACAGGGTAGTTTCTCATTTTAGAAAAATCATCTGGGGGTAAGCCTCCAAGTCAGGAGGGGTAGGGGTTAGGCAATAAACACATTTGGTTTCTCCTATGTGTATTTGAGATTTTTATGAATTCTTTTGTGTAAGAGAAAGATAGTCAAAATTACTAGGTAGCTTTAAAAATATGCTTATTTTTAAACACCGATATGTCAAAAACTAATCGTACGATTTATGTTGCCCAAAAGAAGGTCAAATGTTCCAAGTCAATTTATCACCTCAACAGAAGATCGCTGTTTCAGTGATGAATATCACATGGACTTTCTTGGTAAATTCTATATCAGAATTTCATTTTGATTCTGATTCGGGAGCTACATTTGATGATTTGATTCACAGGAGATGCAAAAATATCATCAAATGGAGCAAAAATCAGGGTGTTACTGAAAAAATTAGATAGTAACTGTCATGAGAAGTACACAAACTTCATACTATCAAAAGACATGAGATAATTGAGAGATATCAACTTCAAACTCGTGTGAAATCAATAGCAAAAAGTTATGTTTACTGGCCCAACATTGAAGACATCACAAAATTTGTTCAAAATTGCTCTTCATGTGCAGAAGCTTCAAGGGCACCAAGAAAAGAAATATCACCTTGGCCTATTGCAGAGAATGTTTGGGAGAGACTTCACATAGACTATGCAGGTCCTGTAAATGGAAATTATTATTTGGTAATCATAAATGCCTTTTCTAAGTTTTCATAACAAGAAATATAACTTCAAAATTCACGAGTTTGAAACTAGAAGAAATTAGTTCCAGTTTCGGAATTCCTAATACTTCATTTGATAATGGTTAACAATTTACTAGTAAAAATTTTCAGAATTATTGTTTAAAGAAAGGTATTCAACATATTCGTACAGATAGCTCCATACAAATCACAATCCAATGGTCAAGTTCAAAAATCTGTGGATACATTGAAAAGAGCATTGATGAAAATGAAAAGGGATGAAGAACATATAAGTAGGTTTCTAGCAGCATATAGGTCTACACTAAATGTCAGTGCTCCAGATGGAAGATCACCAGCAGAATATTTATTGGAAAGAAAAATGCGGATAGTAATGGATTTGCTGATACAGTAGTGTCGCGATAATCCGATCCCGCGATAATCCGTATGTTTCTGTAATCCGCATCGCATTTTCGTTCCCTAGATGTACTCTGTAATCCGGATTTCACTTGATTAATTAATCCGAATTCATTTACATGACTCTTGAAAATAAAAGCACAGAGTGGTGAAACTCCGTGCCATGTAGAATTCGATATATCGCAAGCCGCACAGTGTGCCGAGTCTATAGAATCCTGTCGATGTGTAGAATACTACCTGACAGCACAGTAGTCATCAAAGTAAAATCACCAACTTCTTCCAAGCGGTGCGAAAAAATGTAGAAGAAGGTGGACAAAATTAAAATGGTGAAAATAATGTTGGAACCTAAGGTTGGAACAATATTGACTAGTTATTTTTCTCGTTATTTTTACACTCACTTACATATTTCGCATTCTATATAGATTTATTTTTTTCATTTGTCTTGTTTTTCAAATAAATATAAAGCTTTTTTTGCTTAAATACAGCATGTTATTTTTCAAAATTGTTTCAAAAGCAGACTGTAAAATGCTTCAGTAATCCGAATAATTTGATAATCCGGATTGGTCTGGTTTTAATTGATCCGGATTATCGCGACACTACTGTACCACAAAGATGAATACCAAGAATTACAAAATAGAAGAAATATTCCCCATGATGATCGTCACTTTCATTTTCATAGAGAATTTGGTATATACAAAATATTTAGAAGAAATTCTTATACTTGGATGACTGGGGTAATGACGTTTAATGATTAAAAAAATGGAAATGTTATGTATACAGGGTGTTTCAGAAATGGTGTAACAAACTTTAAGGGCAGATATAAATCAGCAAAATAAGAAAAAAAGTTCCTATGATTATGGGTGAAACACCCTGTATAATGTCCATATATAAGGTCATCGTCAACATCTTCTCAGATTACCTGAGAAGGAGATATAATAATCAGGTCGGAAGAAATCAACAATGGAATTCAATACCACTACATTTGCTATTGAATTCTTTCAAAATAAATATAGCAAATCACTCGGCAAACCATGACCCACAAATGGGAAATAGAAATGAATATGGGGGAAATTCATTAATTCATTTTACTCCAACATCTCCTCAAACAGATAATGGGTTTGCAGAAGATGTGATCATTTCAGAAGAAATGATGACATAAAGAAGTCTAACAACAATGGAGCCTCAAATGAAATACCTAGAGGATTTCTACCACTGAAACAGCAACCCCTAGATTTAGAAGAGAACGCAGAATGCCAAACTTTCTAAACGATTTCATTTTAGACTAAATAAGGGACAAAGGTAGGAGAATGGAATATGCTTCTACACCAGATATATTGCAGTGGTGATTGACAATAATTGTGGTTCAGGGGTGAGGAAATCATCATATTCTTTTCTTACTTTTTTTAACCATTGTATTTTTAAATATTGTACAGAACAGATGCTATTATTAATCATAGTGTAATCACGACAGTTATTTTAATTGATTTATTTTCTTGTTGAGTGGTAAAATCACATAAAGTACACGGTAAAGTTTCACTCTCCCTAGTTATCACTCTTGAAATACAAATATGTAGCTAATAGATTAGATGTCAGAATTGTTCTTCACTAATCTTGATCCGCTCTATCGATTAGTAAAGTGAAAATAAAGCAAAACTAAAAAATAAAAAAATCGAGTTTTTTATAAGGGGTACCCCTTCGAATTTTAATTCCAAAATCTCCAAACCTCAATTGATCAGTAACCATAGGTCTAATTGCATTGAAATTTTCAGCATTTGTAGCTCTCATCAAGCTCTAAAAGACCTGTAATTTACAATATTCCCAGGTTTATAGTTTTTGAGCAAATTGAGTTTGAAGTTTTTGGAAAAATTTGTAATAAAAATCAACTTTGAGGCTCAATTACTCAAAAACTAGTTGATTTATTATACTCAATTTTACATGGATTTAAGGAGAATTTATTGCTCTTTCCAATGATATAATTTATTTCAATTTGCTCAAAATTTAATAAAGATATGGGCAATTACTTATGTCTATGTCAAGATTTTGAAAATTTTCCAGAGCCAAAAATAGGATTTTCTTTTTATTTTAATTTCTGCTTGAAATGGCCATTTGGAAATGATGTCAGGCCACTAATTTGGATCTGCTGTATCAATTGGTAAAGTCAAAATTGAGCAAAATGAAAAATAAAAAAATCGAGTTTATCATAAGGGTTACCTACCCCTCGGGTTACCCCTTTGAATTCTGATTTCAAAATATTCAAACCTCAATTGTTCGGTAACCGTTGTGCAAATTTTATTGAAATTTTCAGTATTTGTAGTTCTTATCAAGCTCTAAAAGAATTGTGATTTACAATATTCCCAGGTTTATAGTTTTTGAGAAAATTGAGTTTGAAGTTTTTGACAAAATTTAGACTAAAAGTCAACTTTGAGGCTCAATTACTCAAGAACTTTCTGAGCTATCAAACTCAATTTCGCACCTATTTATAGAGAATTTAATGCTCTTTCCAATGATATATAATTTATTTCAATTTGCTCAAAAATCCATCGAAGATCTGGGCAATTATATCTAACCGCGCCTTAAATAGTAAAGGCTGTAGGTATGGGCTTGAATATAATCAAATATTCTGTGCCTATTTTGGAATCATGCCTCGCTTGATTTTTAGTTCTGAGACTAAGATATACAAAATTTTACTCGAATCAGCGCACCTTATTGCTTCAAGTAATTTCTTTAAAGTATTTTACATACTTCAAGTAAGGCCACTTTACTTGAAGCTCAATGTTTTTACTTGAAGTAAATTACTTGATGAAATTCAAGTAAATTTCAAGGTTTATTTGATAATCAAAGTATAATTTTAAAAAACTTGTACTTGTACTTTCGTAATCCCCAAACATTATGCATAATTATGAAAATCCCATAAAAGCCATACTTACCTGAAGATTTTACCTAAAATTACATTTACATGTTTCAGAGAAATAATCCACCCACTGAAGGGGTTCCAAACCATTCCATTTTTTGTTTCTAGTTATTCCTGAAAATCTTGGGAAATTCCAAAAAATTAAAATATCTATAGGATAAGCGCAGGGTGTCTTACCCAGGATGCGATAACTTCAAAGCGAGTCATCCTACTGAAGAATTCCAAAATAGTAGCAAAGACTATACCTTTTTATATCCTATATGTGAAATTTTTGGGATTTAAGAGGATTTAAAATATATTTTAGAAATTCCAGGTGAAATCAAAACAATTAGAAGAAATCGTCCATATCTCAAAAGAGGCTTGATATGATAGGATCGAGAGAAACAAGGAATTCAGTCAAAATTTGAGAATATACAAGGTGTCCAACAGAGTTTCAACCAAGCAATAACTTTGAAACGCATTATCCTATTGTAAAATTCTGTGTGTCTAAACCAAATATTTGCCTCACTTAGGACCGGTTTATCAGTGCAGTGGACAGTTAAGCTGTGGGTTGACTAATAATTATCAATATCAATAGGTAGCTGGTAACTGACAGCTAAACTAAATAACGGTCCACTGATAAACCGGTCTTTAGTTATAACCTTATATTAATGTATTTTAAAAAACACCCCTGTTCTTACCTGAGCTTCTTTCGCTTCCCAATGCATCGATTTCATCAAAAAACACAATAGACGGTGCCACCTGTCTAGCTTTCCTAAATACCTCCCTTATAGCCTTTTCTGATTCACCCACCCATTTACTGAACAATTCTGGCCCTTTGATGCTCAAAAAATTCAATTCGCTCTCGGTGGCTAATGCCTTGGCGATCATTGTTTTAGAACAACCTGGAGGGCCGAACATTAGCACCCCCTTAGGAGGCGTCACTCCTAGTCGTACAAAACTGTCAGCATATTTTAGTGGCCATTCGACCGCTTGTCTTAGAATAAGCTTCAAGTTTTCCTGGCCGCCAATGTCAGTCCATTTTACATTGGGGATTTCGATTTGCACTTCTCTCATGGCACTCGGCCTGACCTTTCTCAAAGCCAATTTCAAATCGCTTAATTCAATTTTATCTCCGTTTCTTCTGGAATTGATTAAGCTGGCTTGTGCGCAAAGAGAGACGAGATCGGCACCAACAAAACCGTGAGTAGTCATGGAAATTTCCTGGTAATCAGTATCTGAAATATTTTGGGGGACATTGGTGAATAATTTTTGAAGAATAAGCTTGCGGCTTTTTGGGTTGGGCGTTGGAATTTCAATTTCACGATCTAATCGGCCGCATCTTCTAAAAGCAGGATCGATATTATCGATTTTATTGGTGGTAGCTATTATAAATACTTTTGAATTTTTATTTGTGGCTAATTCATCTATGCAAGTTAATACTGTGGAAACTATGCGCTTTTCTGAGTCTGTTATCCTACCATTTCTTGTTGGGCATAAAATATCGATTTCATCTATAATAATTACACTTGGTGAATTATTAGTGGAGTTTTGGAATAGTTCCTTGATTACTTCTTCAGGGTTGTTACTGTGTTTACTATACAAATCAGGGGCATAAATTTCAATTACATTAGCTCTAGATTGTTGGGCTAACATTTTGGCTAATGTAGTTTTTCCTGTACCAGAGTTGCCATATAAAACTACAGAGTTGCTTTGAAGAAATTGACTCGTTTTAGATTTTTTTAAGGTGGCATTTAGCATTTCTTGTATTTCATCAATCTCTGAATCTAAGCCTGCTATATTAAATAATACAGTTTTTGACTGGTTGTTATAAGACTCTTGACTATTGAAGATTTTATATTTTGTGTGCGGGGTAGTTGAATAATAAGTTCTTTTATTATGTAATGAAAGATTTTCAAGGCACTTAGTCAAAACAATCTTTTTTTCAATTAGTTTTACTTCAAATTTTAATATTGTTCCATAAAACATTACATAGACTATATTGCCTTCAGTTAAATATTTGCCTTCATATGATTTCGAGAGCCTATTATTTAATTCTGAAGAAATTTCTAGTGACTTTGGTCCATTGAGGATTACTAATGAGATTTCTAAAGCTTCTGCTGTATTGTGTAGGGCAAGTTTTTGCACAGCATAAATATCGTTTTGAGTAAAATTTGAATTTTCCAAGCAATTTTTAGTTACCAAAATTGAGACGAGGCTTTTCTCATTGGTGGGCCACACTTTTTGCACTAAAGGGGCCCCAGTTTTATCAATGTGGTCCACAATCACAAAATCGCCAATTGAAAAGTCACACAGCTGCATGGCTTCTTGACTAAGGAACACCAAACCGTCTTTTTCTCTGGCGGATAAATTTTTAATTTCCTCATTCGATTTTAGGTCTAGAGTGCCGTGCAAAACTTGGTTGTGTATAAAGGTGCTTTTTGGGTTCCGCTTTGAGGGTTCTAGATGACAAAAATCGTTGTGATTTTGAGTATCTTTTTTCAGCATGAAACTGGAACATTTTTCACATTGGTACCACGACGAAGGTTTCTTGGACATGATTTTATTTGAGGAGAATTTGAAAAGAAGAAAGTTTACTCTGAATTTTCAGGTTATAAATAAACACACATGCTAATTATAACCTCACTTTACTGTTGTCAGAAGCAACTTCTGTCACTGCCTCTAGAGGGCGGCAGTGAAAATTAAAAAGAAACTGCTTAGTTTTGGAATTTATTATATATTTTTGTAGTTTCTTTATTATTTTGTGAATTTAAGCATATTTTCTCTCTTTTCTGTGACTCTATAGAAAACAAAAATTGGCAGCAACTGATTTTTTATTACTATCATTACAGATTGACCGAATACGCGTAAAGACAACAAGGTTCTATAGTTTCGCTTTTCAAAAATAGATGTCGCGACATGTTCAAAACCGATTTTTATTTGAAGATTCAAAATTTCCCTTGGCGGAAAGAGAAACTTTGTAGATTCTTATTACCATTTTTGATTTGATAATATTTTTAATAGGATAATACACCCTTTAATTAAACTGATTGCGAAAAACACGCAATAATTATCTGTTTCCGATCGTAAACCAGAAAATAAATAACAGCAATAAGAGCAAACTTGTAATTTACCAGAAGCCAAATGAACAAGATCCTGCTACACCATGTTTTCAAGAAGCGTAATCGCTCATTTAAATCATCCTTGGTGTGTTTTTGTTTATGTTTCTACAACCCAGTTACGTAAAGTCTATCATTATTTTACCAGCGTTCAAGGTCTAAACAGCGCACATTCGCACAAAGTCTTAAAGACGTCTTTTTCAGGTCTGCATCACGTCTGAACGTCTAAAGATCAAAAAAAGACGTCAAGAAGACGTTGTTTTGAAGAATTCCATAAGATGTCGTAAATTCACATCTAAAAGACTGAGCCGCACTATTTGGTACAGCCGGGCCTAAAAGTGAATAATGGTTTATGCATTAAAAAGAGATTCAAAGACGCCTTTAAGACATCCTGTTGAATGTCTTAGAAAAATGTCCCAAAGACGTCTTATTTAGGCAGACGTCTGTGTTTGGGTTAGTTAAGCAAACGTCTGGGTTTTTTAACATACGATGTCAACCATTTTAGAATGCCCTGGAACATTCAAAAACCGATTTGGAATTTCTAAAAGCATTTTAGAACAATTCAGAAGTTTGAAACCCATTTCAAGACACCCTAGAACCGCTTAAACACTAGAATCTTTAGAAACATTTTGAAAAGCGCCAGGAATCTTAGGATTCAAGTTAAAAGTTATAAAACGCCGGCTGTTAGGAGCGAATTTAGATTGCTGTAGAACTTTAGACCTTTTTTTAATAGGCTTCCAAAACAGTTCAAATCCAAATCAGAATTTTCAGGAGCATTTTGGAACAATTTAGAAACAGTTATTTTTGAACAATCAGGATTCAATTTAGAACTGGAAACCTTTTTAAAACTCTTTTGAACCAATTTAGAACACTTTGCAGCTTCAATAGGACTCTAAAATGCTTAAAAATCTGGAAATTATTGAAAAACTTCTAAAATGCTCCAGAACTCTTCAAGTCAAGCTAGAACACTTTAGAACTTTAATAAGCCATTTTAGGACGTTCTAAAACACTTTCCAGCAGCATTTTGAAAAGTTTCAGATTTATTTGAAAACATCAGAATTATTTCAGAGAGCCTGGAAATAGACAAAAATTGAAAGTTATAAAATGCGAGTAATAATGAAATACTAGTATCTATCTCGTCTTTATTTACAAATCATTTTAAACTTGATACCTTAATCTAATTATAAATATTTATATAGAGAAAAATCCTTAAAATACAACTATTAGTAGGTATACCACTATCGCTAATTTAACAAATACAAGGACGTAGAACAACAGTAGGCATGATAACTAATTATAAGTTTTGCTCCGATATCACGCAATTTTCTGCGACTCGTGACTCTTTACTAGGGCTGTTTTGCTCCTTAGGTCAATTCATACTTTTAATCCTTAGAGGTATTCCAGGGTTTTAGTTTCAATTAGTCATTCCGTCCAAATTCCGTCGTTGTTATATCAGTTTCGAAGGGAAAACTATAGGTTTTTTGACAAATTAAAAATATTGAACCTACTTAATTTCAAAGTAAAAACAATCATGTACTTTTTTAAATGTATATCTGAGACTCAAATTGGTACTATTGCTCAAAAGGCAAGACACTAATTTTAGTCACTGGGTTTTTATGCCAACGATACGAATTTCATTGGCATCTCCGGGAAGAGATTCACAGATTCTACCCAATTTCCAACATAAGGTGGGCACATTATCTTCTTTAACAAGTACCATCTGACCAATCATCCATTTTGTTCTTTATTGGAGAATGTTCAGGTACTGATGCGACCATCGTTAACAAAAGTGTGATAACTTTTTCCGGATTTCTTGGTACTTTGTTAAACAATAAGTATCAATATTATCGTAGTTTTCATCAGGCAATGATTTTAATGACGATCTGATTGAGAAATGTTCAGGTGTCAGGATTTCAAGATCATTAGGATCGTTGAAAACAGGACATAAGGGTCTGGAATTTAGAATAGACTCAACCTGCGTTAAAATTGGTTACAAATGTTCATAAGTTAAATGATGATGATCTTTGATAGTTCTGAGTAAATGGTGTTTTACTGATTTTACAGATGACTCCCATAGACCTCCAGAAGTCGGTGCACGTGGGGGTATGAAATGCCATGTAATACGATTTTGCAAAAAAATAGTTTTTGACTAGCTTGTCATTGTTGAGGGTGCAAAGTCTTTCGTAAATTTCCTTAAGATGGTTGTTGGTGACAATAAAGTTGGTTCCATTATCGGAATACAAATTCTCACAAAAACCACGTCTTGAAACGAATCTTTCAAGAGCGTTTAAAATAATATCTTTGGATAAATCTCCTACTAATTCTAAATGTGAGTACCCATACACTTTGTGGCACGACAAACAAAAACACAAATGTAGGACTTATGGCCGTTTCCAGCAACTATTTTAGGGCAGCCTTAACGATAAGTATTCCCTAAACTAACAGTTTTCCATGGAGAAATGTCAGTTTAAGGAAAACTTATCGTTAGGGCTTCCCTAAAATAGTTGGTGGAAATGGCCATTGACTAATTTTTTTGACCGTAAAGTTTCATCCTTCACTAGGATGGGACCAGCAGAGTCGATACCAGTGCAAAAAAATGGTGGTGAAGATTTTACACGAAAAGAAGGTAAATCACCCATTAGTGGATTAATAGTCTTTGATCTTAACTTAAAACATATGCAACATTGTCTAATAAATTTCCTGATTGCATTTTTACAATTCAATGACCAGTATTTTGTACGGATGGAGAATAAGGTAATTTCTGTTTCACCGCATGTGACACAGATCCATGTGATAAGCTTTCATGCTCATTTTTAATCAACAATTCAGTAAAACTATGGTTATCTGGTAGTATTATTGGGAATTTATGATCAAAAATTGATTGAGAATTTTTAAGACGGCCTCCTACTCTTATGATGCAATCTTTAAAAAAGGATTTTGAAAAATTAACTCACTTTGTCTTGATATATTTTTTTCATTCTTCATACTTTGATACTCCTGGTGAAAGGAGGTTTCTTGAACATGTATTAATGTATTATAAGAGCAATAGTAGCTTGATCTATCTCTGCAATAGTTAGTGATCCTGTTAAAATTGGACACTATTGTTTCCTTAATTTCAAATTAATAAAGAATCTTCTACAATAACTCGTAACTCGAATATGTCTTTTAAAATCTGAGCAATCAGAAAATAAATGAAAATTTTCAGCATAAATGATGAAGACTGATGCATTATACAGCTTCTCTGAGGTAAGCTCTAAATTAGTTTTGTATGTTATACTACCATCAGGCCAATGTTTTTGATCAAGTGAAAGCCAATGTGCACCAAACCACCAAGAAGTTAATTCAATAAGCTCACTGTTTGCAATCTCGTGATATGATGTCAGCTGGATTTTTGCAAAGTTGACACATATCGCCAACAATCTACGTATTTCTGACAAAGATTATATTTTTGATACACGGTTTGACACAAATATCTTCCATTTATATGGTTCTTGAGATATCCATGATAGGACACTTTGTGAATCTGTCTATAGAAAAGCATCTATATTTAATTTTAGTGTTTTAATAGTATTATTGACAAATTCAGATGAACGCACAGCCCCAAACTGTCTTGATAGGAGCTACGCGTCACTTGGAACATAGCAATGAACAATATACTTTACTAAAGGAATCTATAGTTCTAAGGTAAATGCATATTTCCATATGCTGCCATCCAAGCATCAGTAAATCCATGTTATTGCAACGTGATGTAGTTTGATAGAACTGCTTGCCTAGGAACTGATATTTCATCTATAGATTTTAAATAGGTACTGAAAAAAAATTAAGAAATTGATATGATGAGATCCAGAGATTATGTCATCCCAATCTAATTGGAGTTTCCATAATTACTGGAGAATGATCTTAGCATTAATGAGAACTGGACCTATGAGTCCTATTGGGTGAAATATTTGACTAATGATTGAAAGCACTGACTCTTCTTTTGGTCAATTGAGGATTTAATTTTATATTGAATGAACATTGAGAAATGTCTTTGTTTGGAATCCAAATACATAAGCCAAGTGCTGGGACTGCTACGTCTGAGTTTACATTTTGATTTAGGTCTGAAAAATGAAAGTTTTGCTGATTGGAATCATTTTCATTAAACATCCATTAAGTTAAAACAAAACCTACAGATTTTAAAATTTCGGAAATATCTGTCTTTATTCTTAGGAGTTTTTCATGTGTATCACAACCTGATATATATTAAATCATCACAGTAAAAATCTGATAAAATGGTTTGACTTGCTTCGGGAAATTTGTCTTGATTCTCAATATTATCTTATTGCAAGAAATGAAGCGGATGATGTAGATGTACCATGTCCATAGGTAACAGTATTCAGTTCAGATTATAATGAGAAATGTTTTCTTCAGGGCTAGGACGCCATAGGGTACGTTGTTAATAACTGGATTTACACTTGACTGTACATCTTTGTGAATCAGATAACCCGCGTAATTCAAATTTC